GGCCCTTTTCTCATGAGCTTCTAGTCCAAGGCTACACTGCCCCTTTCTGGCAGCTGTGCAGGACCTCTTAGCGGGGCATGGTGGGCTGCAGGAGAGAGGAGTGGGCACATGCTCCGGTGGTGGCTCTGAGGGTCTCACTGTGCAGCAGGGGCGCCAAGGTGGGCTCGCCCTGCCCACTCCATGCTCTGAGAATGACATGAGCTCATGCTGCGTTGGCACTTGGTGTGTTGGCACTTGGTGTGTACCAGGCACTGACGGGTCAGAAGACTCCTTCTGGATGAACTTGCGTCTCACAACAGCCCGGGGCGGGGACAGCAGGGCGTGACCTCTGCCCTGGTGTGAGTGTGTGGATGTGAGGTCCCAGAGGCTTAGGGCACGGTCCAGGTGGCAGAGCCAGGGCTCGACCTATACAGACTGGCTCCTGATCTCAGTGCAGGTGGGCAGGGAGGAAGGGGTACCGCACTGGTGTCCGGAGGAAGCCTGGTGTGCAGCGGTTGAACTCCCGGGGGCAGTGGGGTGCTCAGGAGAAAGCCCTGCCAAACTCTAGAACCCCTGTGGGGTGTTTCTGCTGTGGCCCTCAGTGTCCCCCTGAGTCAGGATGACTGGACAGCGGGGCTTTTATCACTGTGTTTGTTCCCCAGGATAACGGCTAACTTGGGACTCACTTTCACACCCTGCCGCTTTTCCTGACGCTGTGATGCCCTGAGGCAGGCGGGCAGGAGCTCACTTGCTCTCGGCAGCAACACTCCAGATCAGGCAAAGTCCCCTCTGAGCCGCTCTCACTCAGCAGCTTCTGAAGCCCGATCCCTGCTGAGTCGAAGCCAGGAGCAGCTCAGGGCCTGTGTCCTGGTCGGGGCTTGTCCCTCCGGGCCCAGGAGCTTGGCTAGGGTTCTGACGTTCTAGACACTGGTCAGGCTGGGCCCCTTGGGCAGCTGAAGGGGCCTGGGGGCACCCTGCCCAGCTCTGATTGGACAGAGCACCTGTGGACGAGGCTGTGTAATAGGCCGGGCTGCAGGTCGGCTGTAAAATCGCAGTCGTTCCCAGCCCTGGGGCTGGAACAGGGCTGTGGCCTCTAGCAGGCACTGGCTCTCCATCTGCGTCTTGGGTGTGTAGTAAACTTTGCTCATCAGTCTGTTTTGAGTGCCCTTGGGTGCTGGTTTCGGTGGTGAGAGCGTGGGGTGCGAGAGGTGTGCACAGAGACACAGGAAGGAGACCTTGCCCAGGGGAGGAGGCTGGGGTGCTGGGGCCCAGGGGCATGTGACCGGACAGCGGTGTTTAGCAGGGGAGCATCTTCTCTCTCCTCCTTCCTCTGGGAGGGAACGTGAGGGTCAGGTCCTGCCCTTCTTCCTCTGGGGGAGGGAAGACAGGTGCGGAGGCCGCTTGGCAGGTGTGCCGCAGGAGCAAGCCTTGGCTCCATCAGAAGGCACCGTGTTGACTGACATCCACCAGGGGCGGGGCCCTCTGGGCTGGGCTTATATTCTCTGTCTCGTTATTTCACTTAAAAACAAATCTCATTCAAGGGTTCATGAGGGAGGAGGCAGCGGGGAGGGAGGGGAAAAATGAGGAGCTGATGCCAGGGGCTTAAGTGGAGAGCAAATGTTTTCAGAATGATGAGGGCAATGAATGTACAAATGTGCTTTTCACAATTGATGTATGTGTGGATTGTGATAAGAGTTGTATGAGCCCCTAATAAAATGATTTACAAAAAAACAAAACATCTCATTTAAAGGTCAGAACAGCCGTCTGTCCAGAGACTGCCTCACCCTGTGCTACAGCTGAGAGAGCCGGGGCTTGGGGTGCGAGCACCCCCTTGGGATCACTCCAGCAGGAAGGCCATACTGGCCACCGCTGTGCCCTAAGAAGGCTTCCTGGAGGAGGTGGCCGAGTGTGTAGGGCTAGGCCCTAGGGGTTGGGTCAGCGAGGGAGCTGCTTGAGCAAAGGCACCGGGGTAGAATGTAGCTGCTACAGTTTGAAGAAGAAGCCCTGTGTGACCAGCACTTCTGGATGACAGACAGACAGCCAAGGGTGATCTTGTGGGAGAGGAAACTGGGGCTTCCTGTGACCTCCTCCAGCGATCACTGTGGGAACTGCCTGTAGTCACAGACCCACCCTTGGAGGAGGGGGCTCCCCTCTGACGTGCTGTGCGACCTTGTCACATCCCTCTCTGCTGACAAGTGAGGGCTTTCGAGGGCAGAGGGTCTCCAAAGCTCAAGACTGGTGGCCGGTCTGCCAAGGTCTTCCTCCAGGAGCTGGTGGAGTCCGAGAAGGGGTAGGCCAGGGAAGGAGAAAGGCAGAAAAATGCCAAGCATTTCAGAGGTCAGGGAGGACTGGGGAATGTTTTGACAGCAAAGAGGCCATCAGTGACCTTGGCAAACTTTGGCCCTTTGGAATGGAGGGAGCGGAAGTGGCTTTGGAGAGGGGCCAGGAAAGAATTGAGCTGGAGGAAATGGGGGAGTGGGGTCATCAAAGTGGGTGGGGAGCGGGGAGGAGGGATGTTTGGTAGGGGGCAGAGATGGCTAATGAGAGGAGCAAGCCAATCCTGATTGATTGGTATAGCCTGCCTGGAGCCTGGTGTTGAGAATTAGTCTACAGCCCCTCTGTAGATCAGAGGGAGATTGAGCCTCAATTGATCAGCAGTTTCTGCCAAGGACACGGTCGGGTACCAGGCGTGCCAGCTCGTCATTTGCCGTTCTTGCTTAGGTGGTTCTGGGGGTGAAGGTGATGGCTTGGCGTCTTTTCGGATGAGAAACCTCAGGGACTCGGAATCATGGGAGGAAATAGTCCAGCACCTGGAGCTACTGTCTCCCAGGCTTCCGGCTAGAATCAAGGGGATTTGCCACATGGTAAAGTGGTGCAAGGAAATGACTGGGGGCTTGGACTTCAGTGTCCAGTACATCCATTTACGGTTCCCTTGGGCCTCGGCTTTTCACAAGGGGATGGGGAGGGCTAGAAGGAATGGTGGTGACCGCTGCTGTCAGTGTCCGTGTGGACACTGGGCTGCTCTGGGTGCCCACTGCTAATGGTACTGTGGTTCTTTCTCAGTTTGAGGGGGAGCTGGGCCCATGTGACTCGACTCTGGCTCCCATCACAGGCCTGGGGATGCAAGACAGACTTCTTGATTTTCCCCCCTTGATTTTGAGGATCAAATGGAATAGACTTTAGTTGGTGGGACAGAGGATGGGGGTCACTTTGGGTTTGGGGCCCATCCATTCTAGGACTGGCCTCACAGAGGGGTAGAGGCCGGGGAACAGAGGTTAGAGAGCAGCGGGTCAGGGCCAGAGTCGGGGGCAGGCTAGAGGGTGGGTCCCGGGTGCTAGCTGAATGTCAGACCCAGGGCTGATGACCTGTTACTGAGTCCCCCTGTCCTGCTGGAGCTCAGGCCAGAGGAGCCGGTACCCTCTGTCACACGAATGTCTTTTCACATGAGGCCAGTGGCTTGTCAAGGCAGGTCCAGGGAGATGTGAGGGCAGGAGTGGGGGGTGGGGCAGAACCCATCAAGTCTAGGGGTTCTAGCATGGGAGCTGGCAGGGGTGTGAGGACAGGGGGAAGGGGAGGCTGCCTGGACCCAGGCTTGTGTTTCTCACAGCTCGGAAGCCACCAGCCGTGCTAGGGCCTCGGCCACCCCGAGGCAGCTGTGCCTAGTCTGAAACTGCCTTCCTGCTCAGCCCTTTATTTAGAACCAGGGAGGAAGAGCCTGGAGGAGGAGAGAGGCGCAGGACTGCTAGCTCCCCACCGCCTCTGGCCACCCTGGGAAGCTGATGCCAATCCAGCTCCTGCTCTAACCAAGATTGTACGTGAGGCTGAGGAACCGTGTTCTCGTCAGCGTATGGGTCCATCCATTGTTCCTGCAAGTGCAGGATCTGGGAGGGGGATAAGGGACAGGCAGGAGCATGGACCGCCTCTTCTGGCCTCCGTTTCTGGGAGGAACCTTGTGTGTGTGTGTGTGTGTGTGTGTGTGTGTGTGTATGTGTGTGTGTGGTTTGCTAAAGCACACAGGACCATGCCTGTCTTCTTGGCCTGGGGACAACCTGGGAACCCCTCTGGGCAGCTTCATCCCTGCCTTTGCTGCCTCCCTGACACCAGCTCTCTGAGAATGCTTCCCACGGCTGACCTACTCTGTGCTGTTGATCCATTCGCACAGCCTTCCTCCTGCGTTGTTTGAGAATCACCTCCCTTCACTCACTGGCCCTACCGCTCACTCCACACTCCCAGCCTGTTGGTGGCTGTGGCTATGCAGACAGGGATGGGGGAAGGTATCTTGGTGCCACCTTGTACTCACTGCACGGGGCCTTTGTCTAGTGACAGCCAAGCTGTGAAGTGGGATGCTAGCGAGCTCACGGGGCTGCCCTGAGGACCGAGTGAGAAAATGGCGTGGTGACCCTCGGCCAGAGGATTCGGGCTCTGTGCTCAGAAGTGCAGATCTGGGTTGTGGCCTGTACTTAGGGGCTGGGTGAGGTGGGGTGGGGGTTGAGCCTGCCAGGCCTTGCAGGCTTTGTCTCTGCAGTGGGTGTGACGAGCACGTTGGCTCGACTCTCATCGGAGTTCATGAGAAACGTGACAAGCCTCTTTCCATGGTGCTGATTAGAAATGTTTGCTTTGCTAGACTAGACCATGTACACGGGTACAGAAAGAGCTGGAAACACAGGGAATCCAGGACAGATAACCCCCCAGGACCAATAACGAGAGTAAAAATACCAGGAGGGCAAGGGGAAGGTGGGGTAGAAAGGGGGAACCGACCACAATGATCTACATATAACCCCCTCCCTGAGGGATGGACAACAGAAAACTGGGTGAAGGGAGACACCAGACAGTGTAAGATAAGAAAAAAACAATAATAATTTATAAATTATCAAGGGTTTGTGAGAGAGGGTGGGGGAGGGAAGGTGAAAAATGAGCTGATACCAAGGGCTCAAGTAGAAAGAAAATGTTTTGAGAATGATGATGGCAACAAATGTGCTTGACACAATGGATGGATGGATGGATTGTGATAAGAGTTGTACGAGCCCCCAATAAAATGATTTAAAAAAAAAGAAAGATGTTAGCCCTCGATGAAAAATGAAGCATGAAGCTAGACGGGGGTCTCCAGTGTCTCTTGGGGCTTTGATCAGAAATGGGCGGTGGCTAGTTGCTGGTGGTGGGCTCAGCCAGCAGGGTCTGAGGGTTTGTCCTCCCCGCCCCAGAGCTGCCCGAGAACTGGACCGACACGCGGGAGACGCTGCTGGAGGGGATGGTCTTCAGCCTCAAGTACCTGGGCGTGACGCTGGTGGAGCAGCCCAAGGGCGAGGAGCTGTCCGCTGCGGCCGTCAAGAGGATCGTGGCCACCGTGAGAGCCTGGCAGGCAGGGCTGGGCCAGCTCCCTCCTGGGGGCCCAGCTGGGTCTGAGCCGGCGCCTTGCATCCAGCTGAGGGCCCTGTGGCGGTGCCACTGTTGGACTAGAGGGCTCCGTGCCCTGCTCCCTGGCTGAGCGGCCATGGCCTCGGCTTGCCTCCTCTCCCCTAGTGCCGGCAGGCTCCCTGCCTCGGTGTTGGGGACTTCCCTGGGTGTGGCCCTGGCACATGCAGTGGGTGGCATTGAGTCCCTGGGAGTCACCTGCTGGGCTGAGATGGCCCTCCTGGCAGAGGGTCCTGGGGCAAGTCAACGCACCTCTCTGAGGCCGTGCCTCCCGAGGAGAGACCTGCTGACCGTGAGATCCCGGGTGGCAGGGCCAGTGCTGGCAGACGGGGCTTGAGGCGAGGTAGGAGCTCCGTTTTCCAGGAGGCTGCGGGCAGGAGTCCTGGCGGGCACAGTCAAGCCCTGGGCGACTCATTCAAAGGGGGGCAGCTCAGACCTGTTGGGTGCCACGGGAATAAGGCCCGACATTCAGCCTCAGAGAAGCCATGGCCCTGAAAGTCTGGAAGCCGGTCTGCTCTGCCCCTGGGGGGCCACGGCGGAGAGCAGAGCAGAGACAGCCACAGAGGGGACTGGCTGGCTTGGCCCTTCTTGCCCCCCAATTAGCTTAGACTGAGGGGTCAGAGCAGTAGGTGTCGCCCGGGAAGGTGGGGTTGCAAATGGGGCAGCCAGGCTCCTCTGACCCCAGACTGCCCTCCAGGCAAAGGCCAGCGGGAAGAAGCTGCAGAAGGTGGCCCTGAAGGTGACACCCCGGGGAATTATCCTGACGGACAGCCTCACCAACCAGCTCATTGAGAACGTGTCCATTTACAGGTACGCAC